GAGATTTGCAAAAACATTTTTGAAATTCTTATTAAAAGTATTAATACATGTTTGTGGCTCCCGCAGCAAGAATTAATTCAAACTACTTGCCGACGACCTAAAAACTATGACGAAGATGCTACAGACTGCATTAACACCATTAATAATTTTCGGCTCGTTCTTCGGTTTGAGTTTGTTCGAATATCCTCTTGGACATTTTATCTCTCTTGCCTATATGTTTTGGCCATATGGAGTTTTCTTACGTACTTTATTTATTATCCCATCTACTCCAACGTCTTTTTTAACAAGTTAACTAATTCAATGTTCTGGATGAATTTCCTAGTAACAGTCACCGCAGTTACATCAATACTTGTTAGCTTCTTTTATTTTAAGGTAAAAGTTTTATGTATTCAATGTATCAATTTTGTAATCCCTAATATTACTTTTTCAAAATTTCTTAACTATTTTTAACTTTTTAACAAACTTTTTTTAACTATTTTTTCCATTGAGAGCATTAAAGGCTCTTGATCTCACAATTATGACCAAATACAAAGAACCTCATACAAATCATAAGGAAAAAGGAGTTTTAGTCAAATTGCTTCAAATTTTAATATCTTTTAGCTCATATCAATCTGATTAAAAGTTCTCATGGATACAAACCTCTAAATGCTTTAGATTTTGTTCCAGGACTTTCTGAAAATCATCATATTTTATATGGAAAAATAGTCAAAATAAGTTTTTTTTATTAACATTATTTACGAATATATAATAATACATATAATGCATCATAGATATACATATTATATAGTATTCGCAACTAATGTTAATAAAAAAGATTTATTTTGACTATTTTTGTATACAAATATGTCACGGGAAAGTCGGACATAATATTACGAAAAAAGTATCATATTTTGTAATATTTCATGAAATATAATTGTAGTATAAAATATCTTGCAAAAAAATTTTATTTTATTTTCTAATTCCAAGAAGCGTATAAACATTTCCAAAGAGATAAGAAGATTTACAAAAATCAAGCACTCTATTTTG